GAGCTAATAGTGCCTATCACTGCTCCAAACTCCAAGTTCTTTTTAGGTCTGGTGGAACAGATAAAATGCTTTCATTTTAAACAACTTAAATATATTCCAACTTCAGGCTCTCTCGATTATTAAAATATGAACTAGGAAAATATTACTAGGAAACTAGTAATGTAATTTGATGTAAGTGAATGTAATGCACTGCCCAAGAGTTAATTTTTTTCCATTAATTAGGGAATTATCAAATAACTAAAAGTATCTCATTCACATCTGAAAGCAAGTACAGTAAGCAGTTAGGGCTATTAGGAATTTCCATATTAATTTGAAGGCACCTACTCTTGACTGTGTAACATCAATAACAGGAACATTTTAGTTTTAAGATTTAAATTAAAGTGTCAATAGAAGTCACATGGTGATGTGTACCCTTTTTCCTCATTATTAAATCCCACATGACATTTTTGAAAGCTTCTTTGGAATCCATGCCAGATCTAGCGTCTGTCTACTGTCTAAGAGACTACACATTTGAGTAAACCAAGCACAAATTCTTTTACCTATCTCATCCAAGTCATCCACTTCTCTGAATACCTGTTTAAGAGGAACCTCCATAGAAAGCAAGGAATGGAACAGAAATTCTTAATGGTAATTACACATTTTCCAAAGAGATTCATTCGTCAGGGTAAGGACCGCTCTGCTCCTTCACTGAGAAATCATTTATCCTCAGGAGCTAGTGGTCCTCGAGAAGAAAATAGGTTTCTGGGCTACGCTTAGATATTGAAGTCATCGGGAAAGGCAGGGGGCATTTTTATGCCGCTTTTGTTTCTTTGCAGAATAATCCTAAGATCCTGGAGAAGTTATCAAGTTTACTCCAGAGAAGATGAAGAACCAACTCAAGCAACTCAAAGGTCTTCCGGACGGGAAAGGCATTAGATTCAGACAACTGTTGCAAACATGAAATCCACTTCAACGTGAGCCTAGAACTAGAGCCAGCCACTCAGACTCCCTTCAATTTCTGAAAGACTGTTCTGCCTAACCATTTTATAGATGGTTTCACTACCCTTTAAGAAATAACTAAATGTAGTCACCGATACTTACAGAAGAGGCTGAACAAGTAACGATAATCAAAGGATAAGAGGTATGACAGACTTGTTTAATGACACTTCATCAAGCCCGACACTCAATTCCATATCCCAAAGGCTGACTTTGTATTTTGGTCTTGGAATTAAAGGAAAGAAATGACTTTATAAATATTTTCTGTGTGTGTGAAACCAAATCTCATGAATCAATTGAGTTTTTATTATTAAACTGGCACTGAAAATTAATTTCTGCCACTTAACCACTGATTCTAGGTTGAAATTTAGTAAGGAAATCTAAGCCAGAAGTTCTCAGGTTTAGAAAACCTTTCACTGATCTCTTCAATAGCAACAAAAGATGAGAGGACACTTTTAAGATCTGGTCTGGACACTCCTATGGATAAAAGCCAGATTACATTTCTTTCCTGTAAGATAAAACCTAATCACAGTTTCACATGAAACCACCTCCAAAAAAAGTGCTTAGATTCAAAACCTGGTATGAGTTTTATTTTATTATTAGCAAACATCATCTCTCCCTTGTTTCCACACATAATGAATTCTTAAATTTACACTCAAAGCTACAGAATATCACAGTGACTGTGAAAGTGCTGGCAAAAAAAGTTCTGAACAGCTTTCCAAACATGTTAAAAGTTGCAATATGGTGTATACTAACCCTCAGGCGGTAAGGCAGACTTTCCACGTTGATAAGTAAATTGCCTGCTTTAAATTTACATTGTCTCTTTAAACAACTCAAGGCATGTAGAAAACATGCCTCTATAAATACTGTATATTAACATGTTATTTACATCTGACAATAAGAACTCCAATTAGTTTACATCATTAGTCTCAACCTTCTATTATCTCTTAATGCTTTTAACATTCTGTACCCTAAATGAACATAGTAAAATAAACAATAAACTCACGAAGCAATTAGCTGAACCATTAAAGAAATATTTAATTGGTTCCTAGACTATCAAAAAGAACTTAAATCCATTTACAAGTAGGAAAGTTGAAAACTGGGTCTAATTGCTTTCACTACACAATTCTATAACTACATAACATATGAACAAAATTCATATTAACTGAAAACTCAGAGTAAATACAGCAATAAATTATTAGTATTGTTAACAATGGAATACGTTTAGCCTCTTTTTTAAAACTTAATAGTCTATAGTTTTTGGCACAATCATCTATTCTAAAAGTCACTCAGATACCTCCTCAGAAAACGACAGATTTCCAACTCATCAAATTCATATTCTTCAAAAATTGAGTTAAAATGATACTTTTTTTAACCAGAAAGAAAAAATTAAAGTTTTAGGATTTTGGTTCAATGTACCACTCATTAGCAATAAACTAAATGCAAACAATTTGGGAGGTTAGTAATTCCTTTGTTCTGTTTTGTTGTCTTCTAAATTATCACTCATTTACACAGAAATTTCCACAAATTTCATATTATACATATATATATATCACAGTTAATGACTCTTTATTGCCAAAAAAGATCAACAAAAAGCCAGGCATCTCAAAAAATTATAGGAAAACAAATTTTACTCTTGTACAAAAGCATGCTTCATCCTTCTTGATTGCCATACCTCAAAAACAAATTAAGGTGGGGAAGAGACAAGACAGGTAGTGACAGAGAGAAATAAGGTGCTGGATAGCAACATCCTGTATGTGATTTGAGGGTCCTGCTCCAAAATCTTCCGCTCTGGCTTACATGTGAAATTCCCATGATAGTAATTCCTTTAGGTTAAAGCAGGAGATTATTTCTGTATGGTAGATTTGTTACTCTCGAACAATTTGTGTACAAGTTACAGAAGCCCATTTGGGTTAACTTAAGTAAAATGGCACGTGTTATAAGGATTCAGGCAAATGTCACAGAACCTAACCTGCAAGAAGAACAGGTAGGTCTCATGGAAATCAGAAGGTCCTCAGATAGAGGTAGAGTCTTTTTGTATGTCTGTCCTTCTCCATAACATCCTTCACCTCTGCTTCTGGAAAGAAAGTCTACTTCATTCCTTTCTTTGGTGACTGGCTCCCACAGCAAGAGTTTTAGGTTCTCCTCTCTGATAACTTTGCCTTGTATGTGACTTTGATGCTTAAGGAGTTGACCATGCTGCCGTGTCTACAGACCAACTCTGCGCCATCTTTAGCGGACACCACCACATGAATTGAAATTCCCAGGACCAAGAATATAATTGGTCTAGCTTAGATACCCCTGTTCCAATTAACTGTGCCCATGAGACAGGACTGTCCCTTCCAAACCAGGGATAGAGACAGAGAACTGAGACCAGGATGTGGCTTAAGATGTTACAAGGTCCCTTGAACTGGAATTTCACACAGAGGATAACATTAATCACTGGCACAAACAGGAACACTGAGGGAGAAAGGCTCAGGCAGGTACATTTTGATTCTTTGCCTACAATTTTAATCTGCTACCTTTCAAGGCAATGATGACAATCCAAGAACTCAACTGTACACACAAAAGCAACATTACATGCCCTCTTCTGGTGGTATGGCCGCTGAAGCATCTTTCATTGTTTGGTGATTCTCATACCTCTCAAGACAGCCTTTCATCAGCAGGGAGGCCCCACATACAGAAACTAGAAATTGTTCTATGAGAGACAACAAATATAAAAACAGGACGAGATAGTTTCAATTTGAAAATAAAGTAAAAAATAACAGGACTTTTCTGCTTGTAAAGGTGAATGTCCCAGCAAGGATATGGCTGAAGGACAGAAAGTGCTACTGGACAGGGGCGGGAGGGAGTGTGCCTATCCAATTCAAAATTCTGAAACAAGGAGAATCTCTTGAAGCCAAAACAAGGCCATTTTTAAGGCAACTGAAAAACGCTTCTTCATACAGCAACTGGTAAATAAATAATATATGCCATCTTGATAATTATTTCCTGAGGCTGGCCCCATGGTCGAGTGGTTAAAGTTCTGTGCACTCCGCCTCTGCAGCCCGGGTTCACAGTTTTGGCTCCCAGGTGCGGACCTACTCCACTCATCAGCCATGCTACAGAGGCATCCCACAGACAAAGTAGAGGAAGAGTGGCAGAGATGTTAGTTAGCTCAGGGCTAATCTTCCTCAGGCAAAAAAAAAAAATAAGAGGAAGACTGGCAACAGATGTTAGCTCAGGGTGAATCTTCCTCACCAAAAATAATAATAATAATAATAATTTCCTTCTTTCTCCTTAAATTTGTAGTTTCTATTTGCCATCCTCCCCCACAACACACAGCTACACACACTCCTCCCTCAGGCTGGCAAAGTCCTACTTCTGAAGATGAGCCCAAAGGTGAATTCTCCTCCACCGGCCTGCTCGTTTCCACTTTCTAGGTACAATTCATTCTATTTTCATATTTAACATATAATACTAGTTTCTTCACATTTGCCTTGTACCACAAACGAGGCTGTTGCTACCCTGAGGACAGAGACTGTATCTTAGTCATCTTTGTAGCCTCAAGGTCCAACACAATGCAAGACACCTAAAAAGTCTCACTAAGTAGTTTTTTAATGAGTCACAGACACTAGAGATAAACAAATTCAAGAAAGGTTCAAGGAAATTTATGAATAATAGTTTCATAACGGCTTTCAAAGGAAAAAGAAAAATCCAACCTGCATCCTTAACCTATAAGGACAAAAGGATGGAAGTCACACTCTCTCATAAAATTAGCTGTGGTACCGGGATAAGACAGCATACAAGACGGGGCAGACCGCTGTTCTACTTAGCATGCACATCAGCGGCATTTGGGAAAGAAAGTCTACGCTTGTCTATATGAAGAAGTCAGATCCATATTACATCCAGTCCAGACCTACCTCTCTAATTTCTCTCATAGTACTATTTGGCCCCAAACCTTCCAGCATGAACTTTCCAAAGGAAGACTTTACATCCAGTACTGTCTCAGGTATTAAACTATTAGCTCTCAGCTCCAAACTCACCCTTCTATATTCTGCTTTGTGGTCTGGAACTCTGCAAACATTTCTCCTTTGCCAACTGTCTCTGTTAGGCTTCACCAACAGGGGTGACAGAGGGAGACAAGGGCTGGCAGAAGAGATAATTGTTTTTTGCATGCTGTCAAAGTAAAGGCACTTTAACCATGGCCGTGGGAGCGGTTCTTTTATTGTTGTTAGTGCTGTCAAGGTGATTCCAACTCTAGCAACCCTGAGTACAGCACAGCGGAACCCTGCCCGGTCTTTTTGCACCATCCTCTCACCTTCCAGCGCTATATCAGACAATGCTTCACTGCTATTCAAAGGGTTTTCATGGGCAATTTTTTCAGAAGTGGGTGGCCAGGTCCTTCTTCCTAGTCTGTCTTAGTCTTGGAAGCTCCGCTGAAACCTGTCCACCAAGGGTGACCCTGCTGGTATTTGAAATACTGGTGGCATAGCTTTCAGCATCACAGTAACATGCAGCTATCACAGTATGACCACGGACAGACGGTGGTGAGAGCACTGAACGTTAACCGCTAGACCACCAGGGCTGGCTGGAGTGGCTCTAGCCTCTAGCATTTATCCAACCCAGGCCCACTCCACAAAACAGCCTGATTATAGTCTAGAGATACAATAGGCAGTTGGCCAGGGCCCACACATGTCACCCCCTGGGGATCTTAACCCCAGCTTGCAATGCCCTCCTGTGAGCTTCTGAATTCTGATCACCTCAATGTCTTCATTTTACCATCACCACCCTCCCTAACACCCTAGGGTGGGAAGGTCTTCTTGCAATCACTATCTTTGTGTTTTCTTGATATTCCCATTTCACTTTTTCAATTCTCCAACACATCTTGGTCACTGTAAGACCTACCTCTTACTGCTGCTATGTGAGTCCACAGACTTTTGCTCCCTCCTCCAGTGGCCCATAACCCTTTCCATGGTCTCTGACTGGCAACAGCAAAGGGGCCTGAGAGTGACTTTGTGGTCACAAATCTTCACCAACCCAGAAAATTCCATACCTCCTCTACATTTCTGAGCATGGATGAAGCATCTGCTGCAGGAATTATGGGCTATTCCAGTTGGCATAAAAAAAGACAAGAAACCACTGACTGACTCTATTATCAAAAGAGGCAGAATTTGAATAACTCATCATAATTCAATGTGATGGAATTCACTGAACACCTATGTTAAAAAGTATTGCTTGGTGATAATGAGTGCATAAGAAAAACTTAAAACCTGCTCCTGTTGATGTGAGCTTAGCAGACAGCTCTGAAAACAGTCTTGGAATCAACAGTTAATTAAGTAATACAAAAATAAGAAAATTTTACGTTTGGGTAAGAAGACCAAACTTACACCACATACCAACACCATGCTGATTGTTCTAGGGAAGGAAAAGTTAGGTAGAACCAAAAGTTGAGCTGCAAGTGACTTTTGACCCTTGCTTTTACAACTTTATCATTAAAAAACTTGTATGTTATTACCTTGTGGCAAAGACTACTATTCCTCAATATCCTTTCTCTCCTTCTCTCTCATTAATTACCCACCTCCTAACCTCCAGTTATTAGCCATGTACATAGCCACCCAGAATAAAGATACATTTCCAACTTCCCTCAGAGTGACCACATTTTGGCCAATGGAATGTGGCTTAAAGTGACATGTACAAATGGAAGAAGAAACTCTCCTGTTTCCTTCCTTCCTATTGACGGAATGTGGATAAGGTGGTGAAATCTCAGCCCACGGAAATGAGAGCAACTTTCTAGGAATGACAAAAATAACATGGAGAAGGGGTATGGATCCCTGATGATGTCACACAGGACTATGAAGAGTTGCTGGATCAGTTTGAGTAAGAGAAAAAAGCTCTAACTTTTTGGATTTCTTTTATAGTAGTTAAATCTGTACTTTAATTGATATAAACCCCAAATACCTAGTTACCACCCCTTAACATTCACATAGAGCCAACAGAGCCAACTGATAACTGAACCTGTGGTCTGCCCTTCCTGTATTTCCCAGGGAAGACCGGGATGGTGGAAGAAATCATCTGTTTCCTGGCAGGCATCATTCAACAACTTCCACAGGCATTTGTGCGCACTGAGCATGGGGTGAAAACGGTCAAGACAGATGATGTTAATTTTGTACAAAGAAGTTCCTTCGAGCAATGGAAGAAGATCCATGATTACTTCAGGGAGTTTCCAAAAGAAAAGGTGATGCTTTCAGTGCAAACTTTATTAGACTCATATTTTAAGAAGCTTTGCTCAATCCTGCCTACGCAGAAAAATTTATCCACATAACAGACATGATATAGTTTTGGTTGTATGTGTCTGCAAAATGTCTGTAAAAGCATCTATTTGGTTTGGGGGACCTGCTTTGGTATTTTCATAATCTAAAGTGGGTTTCCAGTAACTGAAACACAATTTATACACTGGACATCTATCTATTTCTATATGAACAGCAATCTAATATGAGTTATACTTAAAACCATTTGCCTCACAACCAAAGTCAACACCACATATGTTGAGATTCTCTGTATACGAGAAATTCCTAATCATAAATTCTTAGCAGATCCACTGGGCTCCTGAGGCAGTGGAGCGAGACGTAGGTGACAGCCAGCCAGGGGATGTTCTAAGAAACCTATTGCAACTAATCAGTAGGATTTTTCTGTAATTGTGAAATACTTTCTTTGTATGAAAATTTACAACAGAAATGAAATCATTTTTGATAAATAACACAGCAAAATCATTGAGTTTGTCCCACTGGAAAGCAATAAAAGCAATACAAGGAGCATGACTGCTGAAGCGAGTGTTTCGTAAGATGGTTACATGAGTTCCTCAAGTTTCAGGATTAAGAATAAAGTGCAGGTCTCACTGGGGGTCATAGTCAGGAGACTATGAGTATCTGTCAACTGAACAAAAGCCACTGGAACAACTTGGACCTCTCTCCTCTAAGACAGTAAGACCAGAGGCTAATCATCGGGAAACCAAGGGAGTTTAAGTATAAACAGGGCCTCCCCTCAAGGAGCTTAGGGACCAGCTGGGGAAACAGCCATGTGCTCGCGTATTACAGTCATTTATAATCACACACCATAATGAGGAACCTTTCTGAGACTGGAGACATCAGTGTGGACTAAAGTGGTTAAAGAAAGCTTTAGAGGAGAGGTAGAACTTGGACGGATCTTAAAGAACGGCAAGAGTCAGACAGTTGGATGATGATATGCCAAACATGAACACGTAAGTAAAGACCTACAGGCAAAATTCAGCAAGCCCAGGCAGCTAGAGTCCTCCCCTGGCGACAGCTGCATCCATCCACGGAGCACTGGCCAGTAACATCACGCAGGTAATACCCTTACTTAGACTCAGCTATTAGCAAACTGTTCTCTCAGTACGCTAGAGTTCTTCAAAGACTGAATCACGTCAGTTTGTAAAAGATGAGCTAAAATCTTCAAGTTTATCTTCTGTAGGATTTTTCAGAGCTTTTAACATACCAATGTGCACTGTGAATCTCTGAGGGGCTGATACAACATGTAACATTTTTCAATCTTATTGGCCCAAGAACCCTTTTTAAAGTAACTCCTGCTAATATATCTTGGTTCACAAAACACAGTTCAGGAAGCGAGCGGTCCTGAATCTCCCTGGGAGGACCGGGCTCTCTAGTCAGCCTGGCCTTGAACTCTGGTTCCATTACCTCAAAGGCCGGGCGACCTCAGGCAAGATGTTCAACCTCCCTAAACTGCAAGTTACCTCATCTGTAAAATGTCAGCAGATTAAACTGAGAATGTAAACACACCTCGCAGAGGGCATAGCAAGAATTCAACAGAAGTCCCTACTAGTATTTGATGCTCACCAATCAACTTTCAGACTAGAACTCGGCTCCCCACATGGGAGGGGAGAGACGGTGCTGACCTATTATTATATATAAGTATAAATAAATAAACAAAACGTGTGTGTGTGCTTAAAATAAGATTCAAGGACAGAGAAGAGAAGACCCCTATCACTGCACAGCGGAGCAGGCGTAGTCCAACCACGCAGTGAAGAAAGGGCACAATTTTCATTTTTAAGTGTCATAATATGGAGAAAAATATTTGAGAAAATCCAGAAGTGGCTGAGTTGAATCAGTAGAAGAAAAGTTATTCTTCACAACACAGAGATAATAGGAAGAAGATTAATAAATAAAATCAACAGTGTATTGACTAAGCCTCACAATTAACCCCATGGCAGTGACTGAGATTTCTTAATACTTATTCACTAAGCAGAAGTTTAAAAACTTTAGAGTATTCAGCAACCACAACTGAAAATTAGGTTGTGGACTGTGCTTGGGGAAGAATAAGGAAGAGAGAATGAAATAAGTAACTTCCCAGTTTTATTCCTCATATCACTTCTGTTTTTCTCCATTTAATTGTTGGTTTAGCCAGGAAGCACCCAAAATTAAACAGCAGCTTTTATAAACCATCCTATAAACCTCAGAGTCATACCTAGGTGTTTTAAGGGGCAGGGAAAAAACAATTTTGCAAATGTGGTGTACACAATTTAGGATCTGTAACTCCCAGCACACTGGTATTTCTTTTTTTTCCTAATGTCCTCTTTCCTTAAACCACCTCAGTGCTAAAACAACCAGATACTAAAAGATTAGTTTACAAAACAGTATACATATCCTAGAAACAATATATAAATTAAAATATTTCTACAGTAAAATAAAAAAGGGAATCCACAAAGCAGTAAACACGTGGTCTATGTCTACCTATACTTAAATTTGGGCAAGGCATATACCAGACAGATCATAATAATTAGCTTTGAGTAAGGAAGACATATTATGGGTGACTTTTAGTTTCTTATTTGCTTTCACTTTTTTATATTTTCTACAATGAACGTACATTTACATTCAGGGAAAAAGTATATTTTAACAGTAAATAAATGATAGCATTTGCCTCTTTCCCCATTTTAGAACATTCGTACTGAAGGACATAATTTATAAGGCAAAAGTCTAGGGGGCCAGCCCCGTGGCCGAGTGGTTAAGTTTGTGCACTCTGCTTTGGCGGCCCGGGGTTTCACCAGTTCGGATCCTGGGCTGGGACATGGCACCACTCGTCAGGCCACGTTGAGGTGGCGTCCCACATCCCACAACTAGAAGGACCTGCAACTAAGATATACAACTATGTATGGGGGGGGTTGGGCAGATAAAGCAGAAAAAAACATTTAAAAGAGAAGACTGGCAACAGTTGTTAGCTCAAGGGCCAATCTTAAAAAAAAAAAGTCTAAAAGCCTAGGAGAAAAGACAATATTCAGCCCCTTTCCACTTATAGTTCAAAATAATGAATTCATAACAAATTTGCATAACTTAAGTATTTTTCTTTTAAGCACTCTTAAAACTATGTACAAATTATTATGCTCATCCAAGAAGAAGGAAAAGAAAGAAGAAAGGGAAAACAATACGTGTAAAGCTGCAAGTTAAACACTGCCCTAGGAGCTCTGATAGACTTCACCTAATAGAGGCACAAGAACGCTGCTATGAAGCAGACTGTGTCTACCTTACAGATGAGGAAAAGGAAGCTGGGAGAAGTCACTAGGCCAAACTCACTAAAGCTATTAACAGTGTTTACACCAGGATTTCAACCCATGTCAGAGTCCACACGCACTTTTACACTATACAATTGATGTCAGCTTTTCTTTTTAATCCGGCAGCTTGTCCTTAGGGAGCTACACGCTACACAGTAAGGTAAATTAAAACATCAATATAATTTCCCCAGGATATTTAGCATTCATGGCGATTAATATTCATAGTTATCAGCCTGATTATTTTTAAAAAGAAAAAACACGTATGTGGTTTAGATACCCTCATCCTCCCTGCTCCCCACCCCAACACAAATGACCTAGACACGACCTTGTACTATAGCAAAGCTCCTCCTCCTCTTAGATGGCACACCCTTCTCTTCCTACACAAAGCTCAAACGCCCTGCCCTACCCCTCAAGCTCTAGTACGGAATACTATAATCAACTTGAGTGTATCCTCCCTAGGAATCTTCTTTCATTAATTATGGACTTATTTGAGTTTTCCAAAATCTCAATGAGACTGACAAGAAACCACCACTAAAATATGAGATTACTCCGAAACCATGAGATGGTGGAGTCTCTTGACCCCAAACAGAGTTTATGTTTCGTATTTGACTAGCACACAGTTTACATAACAACAGAAACTGTCACAGTTCACACAACAGCAAAAGCAGGACAGGAGTAAACTCTGAGGCTTGCACAAGGAAATAATAAAAAACTTCCCCAGCAGCACAGATTTGACCTCCACTACTTCCTTGTAGCTGGCCAACACTACGAAATTCTAGGTTTAGTATTCCTGAGCTGTGCGTCTCTTTTGCTTGTGCTAAATATCCAATACGTTTTCATCCACTACACTGCCTGGGACAGGAAGAATTTAAGCAGTATTATAAAATCATACAAATGTAGCACCTATATTCTTAGAGGATCAGGGAATTCTCTCAGCAAAGTAATTGCAGTAATCCAAATCCTGAATTATACTACCTTTCCCTCTAAAATGATTTTTTCCACTTTTCTGAGACTTACTGATCTTCACTCAAGGCAGTAAGTTAGCCATCTAACAGACGTTGTCATTCCAAGATTCCAGGCACCACTTAGCACTCCATTCATTCCTTAAACATACTTGATGAGGTCATGCACACTGCTACCTGCTATCACAGAGCAATAAAGAGAATTCAACCAACCTAAGTCTCCGCTGGCAAAGCAAAGGTGATTTCCAAATGATAATGAGCAGACTGAAATGCAGCCAATTTCTGATGCTTTTTGCTTCACCCCAAACCAGTTAACTCAAGGTGATTTTTGTTATGTTTGTTGTTTTGTTTTTTGGGGTGTCAGTCATCTATTACTAATATGTTTTTAAACGTACACTTTCGATATCCTACCTAAAAACAGCTATCTGAGTATCAGTACTGGCCCATGGATTTAGAAAATAAAATAAGCAAATCAAGTATATATCTCAATGGAAGACACTAGACGTAAATCAAGAACCTGACTAAATAAGGCACTGTATATTTTCTGATCTTTTGTTACCACTTAAAAACTCTGACAAGTGGATCAATGCTTATAGTCACCTGATGAGAGGTAGTGGGAATGGAGAGAAGTAGACAGAAACTTCCACTTTCAGAATATTCACATTTCAAAGTATCAACAACACTGTTCTAAATCTGTTCTTCATTTTTTTTTTAATGTTCCACTTAGCAACTTAAATTTGATTTGATTTTTTTCACCACATATATGAGGCAATTTTAAATTAAGCCCACTCCAACTAAGGAAAATCTGCACTTTTTTGATGGAAGGAATCTCCTGCAAGAAAACCAAATCTCTAATCCTTCCATTCCTAGTCATATTTCACAGGATGCAATAGCTTCTTAGAGCATTGTGTTAAAAAAAAGTGAGGTATGTGAGAGGCATTGTGGGGAGGTGGCATGCAGAGATTACAGAAAGGGCAAAAAGTTTTAAAAAAAAAAGGTTCATTATCTCTAATTTTAGAAATGAAATTTTATTTTTTCATTAGCACTGACTCATCACTGGAGTGATGAGTCTGACAGGACTGCGAAGGTTTGGTTATCTTTAATTAAAAAGAACTGGGTATATTCAAAAAAGGCAACCTCTGCTTGCGTCAGAAAATTATGAGTCAGCTGCTAGCCTCACCATTCAGAGGCGACATGCTGTGTGCCCAAATGGCAGGCAGGTTGTCTCGCTACCTTGCAGACAATAAAATACAGGTGCGACATTTTTAACTTTGAAAGGATCATTCTCACATGTAGCACCCACTGGGACCCAAAGAAACTGACCACTCAACAAATGTCTCATAATCAAAGAAAGGAATCCTCTGTCCCAAGGGAATCCTCTGTCCCAAGGGAGAAAAAAATAGTGGAACAGATTGCAGTTATTTTCATGGAGAATTGAAGGAACAGTAGGAAAGGTATCACGATTCATCAGAAAACAAAAATACTGAACAAATATATATATATTACCTTTAGTTTCTGATTTTCTATAATACTAAAAATCTATTCCTTAATTGTCACGTACAACGTCTTTTTAGCTACTCTGCGTGTTTTACCAGCCCTTTTAAGTCATAAATCATTACACAAGACATGTTTGCTTTTAAACACAAGTGCCTATTATTTAAGCTAAAGAATTAGATGCAAATCAGAACACATGTTTCAAGCCATTCGCTTCATCTTCAGGAAGTGATTTTTGCCAACACATAACAAGATTGTAACCTTTACTTTTCTCTTAGTGTTACCAGTAATTGAGCAGAGGTCAAGGATGAGAACTGCCTCTTATGAAACATGATGGTACCAGCATAAAACTAGTTAATAGACTCTCTGGCTGCAATTTTCTTCAATCTAGTCACAGGTACAGGTTGCTCAAACAAGAGTTACTGGCACTCTTCCTGTGGTTGCAATTCACGGAAAGTCAAATAAAGCCACATTCACTAACACCTTCCTCAGATTTCAAAGAGGACGCTGGGAAAAATAATCTGACAACACCCATACAGTGCATATATATTTTGACCTATACTTCAGATGACGTCAGCCATCCCTTTCTCAAGCTAAGAAACAAGGAGGACCTGGGAAAAGGCATGGTATTTTGGGCTCTGTTAACTTTGCAGGTTTGACATCGCTCTTCAAAATTTTCGAAGTTAACAACTGTGCTTACATGTACTCTACATTTATTTTAAAATAGAAGTTACACATGCCATGGTGTAGAGTCTAAATCTTAACTACAAAGAGTTGTCTTAATTTCACATAGAAAATGTACTCCTTTAAAATACCAAGGTATTTGGAAATCACCCTCTTTGAGCACATTTTTAGAATAGAGAATTTTAGAAAGCTAGTTGCTAAAAGTATTCTCTTTACCACCCACTAGGATCTCCCTGGACCATAAGCAAACATTTTAATTGACCACCACACTGGAAACACTCTCTTCCAAGCTTCTTTTACAAACACCGGACTTTGAATTTCCTCTGAGGCCATCACACAGAGACAACAGTTAATGAAACTGTGTGCCTATATTTCCCCATTCTACCAATCCTTTGCTTAAATGTTAAAATGTAATTATATATTTTAAGTGATCAAAGTTTCCAATCCTGACAGTGATCTTTTAGCTTGAAGAACTAAACACTCTACCATAGCAGAAAAATCTGCATGTGTAAAGTAATAAGATTTCAGTCATTTCCATTCCATTACTCTAAAAAGCACTTTGTAGTCATTTATTCTGTACCATAATTGAGAGCTTATTTGCCAAAAATCTAATGGATTTTTTATTCATTTTGAATCACTCTGGCAAGAGTTAGTAGACTTTTGAACAGTGTTTTAAACTTTCTTTCAAAAGAAAAGATGTAAAACCCTGCAAACAGATTGTAAAGGTAACAAATACTAAGACTTACACAGGACAACTTGTGGTATTAAAGACTAATTCTGTTCGATTAGATAAATTTTAAGAAGCATAATGATCAAATTGTTCTAATAATTGCACAGCAAAATATTAAATTGCCAGAAAAAATATTGGGGAAGAGGGTTGGATTTAAGTCATCCCATAAATAAAACCCATCCCTAATCATAAGCCAAATAGGTGAGAAAATGTCTAAGACAAGTTTTGAAATGGCTATATAAAGTGGAGCTTTGATTTCATAGGTACACGGGCTGTTATTGACAAAGCACTCCAGTACAGTGTAACATACTGCATGGGAAATTTTTCTAGGCAACTATTTCCCATCACAGATATATATTTTTCATAGCAGCATTAAACAATCGAGCAAATTAAAATATCTTAGTTGATTTAACTCCACTAGATTCTCCCTGAGCCACTTTTGAAATGTTTATACAATTAACAAACTATAAAATAAACAGAAATGGAATCTACATATCATGCTCCTCCCTTCCGATTTTCTGTCTCTGAACATCTTTATCCAGATAGCTTTGATATTTTCTGGCAAAATGAAACTTGCATGACTCAAGTATACTGATGGTTTAGTTTTTTGCTA